TTTCGATGCATAAATAACAGGTAAATTATTTTGCAATAGTWCTGCACCTAAACCGTCCTTTGATGCATCTACCGATAATGTTAAAGGTAGCTTACTATCATAATATTGCAAAACTGGCTCACTAATTAACATTTCTTTTAATTTATCTAAAGCGTCACTATGCAACTTTGTCCACTCAAATATAACATCTTTTTTTATTAACTCTCTTAATGGAGCATTTATTTGTGTAACATTAGGTAAACATTTTCCAACATAATTTACAACCCCCAATATTCTCTGTAATGCTTCTTTATTCTCTGGTGGTTTTAATTCCTTTATGGTTTTTATTTTATTATAATCTGGTTTTACTCCTTCGTTTGTTATTTCATATTTTCATGTCTTAAGAAATTAACTTTACTTTAATTAAATTTGTATTTTAATTTATTAAATTTTACATTTCTCTCACTTGCTCTTTGAAGTACTTTTCTAAGCCTCTCATCATGTTCCTCTTTATTTTTACCATAGACTATTATATCATCTATATATGTATCAACACCCTCTAACCCTTCAAATGTTTACTTAAATTTTGTATGAAATATTTCTGAGGCTGAAGACCTAGAATAGCTACTTTTTATCTACTTGTGTATTTACTACATAAAATTCACAACTTTTTTGATTTTTATTGCTAATTCCCATTTCAATATTTAAATTACATTTCCCTAGTACTTTAATATTGTTTCCATCATAAGTGCTAAGCTTTGCCTTGGTTGGTTCTATTAATACTTGTGGATTTATACATTTTAATATCTCACTTGGCAATACATTTGCTTGAGCTCCAGTGTCTATTTTATATCTTATTTCTGTTTCTGTACCATTAGTTCTCAACTTTACTATCCAATCTTTATCACTGTTATTATTTTTATTTTCACCCACAACGCCTATAAAAAATTCTTTCTCTTCTATTTCATTAATTTTACTCTCACTTTTAGTTGATCTACATTGTTTAGCAAAATGATTTAATTTCTCACACTTATTACACATTTTCCTATAAGCCGGACAATTATTTATTTTATGATTCCTCCCACATCGTTTACAATTATTTATAATTTTGACATCTTTATTACTATTATACTTACCTTTAGATTCTTCAATCTGCTTTCCCCTTTGTGTATGATGATCATATTTCTTAAGCTTCTGTATTTCTTCAACGTTGCAATTGTTGGTGCCATTATCCATTGCTGACATTTGTTTTCTTACTACTTCATCTGAACGACACACATCCAACACCTTCTCCAATCCGATGTTGCCCTCCTTTAGTAGTCTCTCTTTTTTTTTTTTTATCGATTAATCCACAAATAAGTCTTCCTCGAATCAATGTGTCGACTAGCTTCCCGAACTCGCACGATGCTGCTAATAACCTGAGCTCTTTTACATACTCATCGATGCTTTCTCCAGTCTTTTGATCTCTTGTAAAGAATATGTGTAGTTCATATACTATGTTCTTTTTAGGGATAAAATATTCATCACATTTACGTATAACTGCATCATATTTAGCTGCATCGTTAGCTTTATTAAATTCAAAACTATTATAAATTGGTAGAATTTCAGAGCCAAGACAATGTAACATTAAAGCGATTTTTCGTTTTTCTTCACACGTTTGTTGACTTGATGCCATCAAATATATATCAAACCTTTGTTTAAATAATTTCCATTTCTCTGCTATATTGCTTCCAGACAAGTCAAAAGAAGTAGGTAGACTGATGTGTTCTGACATTTTGACTTTTAACTTGTTTTAACCACGTGTTTCTACTTTTTAATTATTATTTGTTTCCTTTTACTAAACAAAACCGACTGCGCCATGTAAATTTATTTATTATTTATTTAACAAAAAGTATAACATTACATTAATTAATTAAATTATATAGTAAATTAATGACCGCAAGTCAATAACGAATAACTATTATATTTCATGTGTAYTGTATAGTGAACTAACCTCTAAATTCTAATTGATAACTCTGTTATCATTACAAACTCTTTTTGATAATATGCATAATCTGTAAAACCCTCACAAGTATGTTTTTCTAAGCATTTTCTCATTAAATAACCTCAAATGTAAGTTAATGCATTCTGTTCTGGAATGTCAAGTTGTCTAAAATCAACTGTACCAATACTAATGCATTTAAATTTAAAAAGATTTTTATCAGATCCTTCAAAATTAAGAATTTTATCAGATTGTGGTAGATCTGAACCTAAAATTTCATCTAAATCTTCAATACAATTTGCACCTGGGGAATGTTTGAAATAATTAGCACAAAMAATYTTTTTWAATGACCTAGAWAACTCAWTTKGCRTAGGATTTAAATTGTTTCCATGCTGTTGGCGGAAATAACAAAATTAATTTTCAAAACTATCTTAATTTAGGCATCTAGTATAAAGAACATAATGTATATCTTAAGTTGGATTTAAGGAATACCACAGCATTTTTAATGAAGATATTGAAGTTAACCAACTATTAATGAAATTCATCTTGTTAGTAATATTTGATCCATTCAATTTATATATAACTTTTATGTTCCTAAAAACATCAGCCATTTTATTTAGATGATTAATTTGTGATTCAGTATTTTTAAATGGTCTATTAAATTCTTGAGATTTGGTGCTTTAAAAGAATTGAATATGTCAAATAATTTGTCCATATCACTGATGAAATCAATAGTGAATTGAGCGCTTGGCGGCAAAATACCAGACTTCAAAGTCGTTGACATACCAGAAGCAAAAGTATTACTGAAAATTTGGGCAGCTAAATAAACTCTCGTTTTTTCAAATGGTCCTGGATGAATGTGTGCATGTTTTAATTTTGGAGCCAAGCGAAGATTATTTTCAGAGACATAATTGTAAAAAGAATCAATATGGGCTTTAGTTATTATTGAATCATTGGTTATAAAGTCATGTTTAAAAAACATATTCCGAGTAAAGAGATGTAAAAATTTTTTTCCGTCTTCTTCAAAATATGGCTTGTTAGGAGAAACATAAAAGCTTTTAGAAAAACTTACAAAATGTGTGCCTTGATCAGTTACAAAAGCCTTGATATTAAGTTTAATATTTTGGATACAAATTGTTGACATTGTGGGTTTTAGGCAATAAAATCACTCACAATTTAATTTAATTAAAAATAAACACTATATTACATAAATATGTGTGAATATAAATGTGAAAAACAAATACCAATATATGTTACAATGACGGATAAAACGCGGAATATCTCGTGGAGAATGTGGCGGTGTATAATTCACGGTGTGTCGCGTAGTGTACTCACGGTGTGCTGCGGAGGGTACTCTCGGACTGACTKACTGAGCRTCTGACCCGTMGGTATATATATGCGTCGATTGTTCTAGAACTTTTTCGAAATTACCCTCACGAAATAATTATCGTATATTCTAGAACATGGGATTTCCCATTATTCACTGACAATATTGTAAACARCTTGGACGACTCGTGGTGCGTTGTTTACGTCGCCACATCACTCCCYTACCAGTGACGGAGTCAAACAGATCCTACTTGGAGACGGTCTGGAAAATGAACTCTTCTTCCGGAACGTGTCCTTTGATCCTCCTTTGAAATGGTAATGGGGGAACCTTTCTCGAAATATCCTCCTAGAATCGTCGTCTACTATTATGTAGGCTGGTTTAAGTCTATCAATAGTTACTCTAATTTCCTCCTTCTTCATATCGATGACAAGTCTTTTTATTTCTGCTTATGACTAGTATAGCATGGGTCACCAAATGGCGGCCCGCGGGCCGCATACGACCCGCGAACAAATTTTATCCAGCCCGCAGACAAAAAATAAAACACACACATATTACGACAACATTCTATGTGCTATAGTTGTAAATTATTATTTTTGTTAAATTTTATTGGTTTTCACCGACAACTGTTGATAAATTGGTCGCAAAGCACTAAACTTTTATTGGGTCATTGGGTGACTGCTAGTTGACTTTACGTCTACCTAGTCAGTCCGTCGATTACCGCCGTTGTATTACATTGTAATTTTTTTCGTGTTAATTGCATTGATTTATTTTTTCGATTTATAATACGGTTAAATAATTTCTAAGTTACTAATATTTTTATTTGAATATGGATAAAAAGAGAAGAAAAGTTGAAATTGAAAACAGACAATTTTTGCCTGAGTGGACGTATCAATATTCTTTTATTTTACCGGATCGGGCAGAGACCTTGCCAGTTTGTTTAATTTGCCACCAGACAGTAGCTGTGATGAAAGTTTTATTAAACGTCATTATGAGACTTCACACATAAATCATTTGCCGAAAAATTTCCCGTGAGTAGTGAACTTCGTTTGATAATTTGCGTATGAAGTATAAATCGGCGACCAATATTTTGAATCACGCAATGACTGAGCAACAGAAATGTGCTCAAGCTTCTTTAAACATTTCGTGGACGCTCGCTAAACATATGAAGCCATTCACAGATGCTGATATTGTTAAAGAATGTATATTACAATCTGCAAATATACTGTTTGAAAATAGCAATTCTCTATAGTATAGAGAATAACTTCAGTCTTCAGGTGGTAGGAGGTAAATATTGATGAGCTTTGGTGTAATGTTTATTCCATTATCTCATAATCCGCGAAATGAATACACATGTCACTTGTAGTAATCAACTATCCTGTAATTTGTATTTAAGTATAATATGGATATATAATTATACTTTATAATATTATATACTATTTCACATTATAATATATAGAATATTAGATATTATAAATAACTCCGTCACATTATTTCACGATGTATTAGATAAAGGAATTAATTTATTTCTGCAAAAAAATAAGTACGTAGGTATTATTTAATATTCAATCATATTATGTGAACTAATTAGATTTCAGCCAGAACAATGTATATTATAAAAAGCTGTTTCATTGTTTACAGTATAAACAGCTAAACATTCAAAAGCAACTAAATAATTAAATAATTTTAAATTTTAAAAACAATTATTTTAAAAATATGGCTAATCAGAATGATTTTGATGTAAAAAGTCTTGAGCCTAACAAGGACAACAACCTTAATACAAGTAAGCTAAACACATTAACCATTAATATATAAAATGAAATCATGACACATTTATTAAATAGAAAAAACTAAAGAAAACGATAACGAAACTTCCGATGACCATCCTAGTGTACCCGTTAGTTCGTTCAAGACCTCAGAAAACGATTTCGATAATGTAGATTCATTGCAAAAATTTTTTGATGAAGAAGTTACACCAGCGAGTACGTTGAAAAATAATAAACAACTATATTGCTATGATCGAGAAACGGCGAAAACTTTGATGTATTTAATAGGTAAATGAATTATGTAATATTTAACGTTCGATTTAAACTCTGATATAAGTTACATAATTACACTACATAGCATTAGCTCAGTTTTAAACATTTTAAAATGAATTATGTAAATTTTACATATAATGTACAAATTTAATATTATTCATAATTCATGTATTTTATTTGTGTTTCTATTATTTTTTTTATCCACATCATTCATTTTAGCTCGTTCAGAACTCACTGGTATTTGGGTACCATATTATTATATAGGTACACCTCTAATTCTTTATTCATGTAACAAAATCACTGTGATTCACATTTCTGTTATTTTTACACACCCGCGACTACTGTTGTTGCCATCTTACTAGTTTTTTCTGCTCATATACAAATGTCTTACAAAGAATAAAAACTAGAACGTATCATCGAATTTGAAGCATTTCAGTATAGTATTGTATGTCTTTCAGACAGTAGAGATCGCCAAAAAGTGTCCTCATGGATAAGAAAACTGGATAAGATGAATGACAAAGATGGAATATTAGAACGTGTGGTCTACATTAAGTACCTGGTGGCCACACTGAGTGGATCGTTGGGATTGGTGGAACCATTCACGTCTATGCCACCAGAAAAAGTAAAACCTTTGCAAATGATTTTACCGCCATCAGTATATGCTGATCTAGTGAAAGATGATCCAGAGCCAGTTGTAAGGAAAAAGATATATGCTCATAAATTGCAGAATTCAAATAGTTTATTGCTACAAGACAAAAAGTTTTATGAACAACAACTCTTTCCGCCAGAAGGCATAATATGCTATGCAGCTGCTTTCAGCATCATATAAGCATTGATCATTCGATTTAATGTCTAATAAAATTTATAGAATTTTAAAATTTCGATATCAATTAATTTTTTCATGAAAGATTTTTAAGAATATAAAGTAAAGGTTTTTTAAAGCTTAAATTTTTCTTTTGACATTTTATGTCTGCTTTACCACATAGAATCGAAATCGATAAACATTACGTTACGAAAAATAAATTGCAAAATAAAATTTTCTCATACGACATTCGATATCGATATCCCCGATTATCACACGATAGTTAGGTGCTACTGCACCGACGCTCGATGTGTTTGATACTTCGACCCATAGAATATAGATAGTATAGAACGGCCACTCGATTAATTTTTTGGTTTSTAAAAACGCGCCTGGTGGTACGATTTGATTTTGAACTAACACTCATACCCCGCCAGCAACCCACCTAGTAATTTTTTTGAATACTCCAAAAATCCAATATTATCAACTAATGAAAATGGTTGATAATCAACAGAAATCATTTTGATTAGACTTTTGTCAATCAAACTTTTTTCTACTTCAGATAATTCATTACCTCTAGTCGAACCAAATAATTTTAACTAACTGGCGAGAACGTTTAGGTATAGGTAAAGTACAGGGCTGCTGTGAACTCGTRTTAGAACCTGAATGTTCTGATTGTAAATTAGAACTAGTTGAAGGACCGGCCGATAATACATCTRAATCTAATTGTTCTTCAGTTTCTATAATAGGATTAAGGTGTGCAGGGTGTTTTCTCTTCAAATGTTCTTTAGATAAAACAAAAATAAATAAATTGGAATTTAAAACTCTTAAAACAAAGTAATAGTAATTAAATTTGAAATTTAAAAAAATGTAATCAATTGAAAAATCGTAATACTCTTATAAAAATAAAATAATATATATTATAAAGAATAATAATATATCTAAATACAACAAAAATCAGTATATATTATTAGTTTTATGAATTATAGTTATAACTTATAACCTTATGAGTTATGATATCGTGTAGTTAAGATATCTGTAAACAGATATTATATTTATCTAGTTAATTACTATGCTAGTGCTACACAGTACACACACGTTTTACAAGTAGTTTTGAATAATTTATTTTTGAATAAATTAAAAAAAAAATTAAAATCTTACAATTTAAAACTATTTTAAAAGTAATTTAAAAATATTCGTGTGTTAACACAATTTTTTATTGCAGTGTAATCATGATATTTGTTTTAAAAAAAGGATATTTAAGCGAACATCAAATACAGGCTATAATCAAAATAAAAACCTCAAATTTTGTTACTACATAGAAGAAAAAAACTTAATCTATGGCGTAGCGTTTTTATTTTTTTATAATTTAGTTAATATTATTACTATTATTACCTTTTAAATTTGTAGTATTTTTATGGTAATTGAAATCTTTCATGCATACTTGGCACTTMACGCAATTTTCGTTAATTTTTTTAAAATGCTCCCATACCACCGATCTTTTAGGTGCCATTTTACTACAACACGTCACAAACACTTCTTATTCGACTAATGCCAGAAATCGCAATGATTAAATTATTATAATTTAATAATACGTAATATTGTTTTTGGTATCTTATTCTTATTGCCTATTGGTTATTACTTCTATAATACTATTAATACTATAATATATACTATATATACTATAACTATATTACTATTAGTCAAAACTATTTTTGGAAATAATCGTATTGCATGATACTTATACAATTCGAATTGTTATATCAAACTATTTATAAGTTTGTATTTATCATTATTTAGATATTTTATTGCTTTATTTTCGAGCTAAATAGTTATATACTGAACGTTCCTTAAATAAAAAAATTGTATTACATTTCTTATTTCCGGTTTTTACTTTTTGCTAGGTATCGAAAATAAAGTGAATTATTCTATTCAATATACCCACAGTAAACCACAATATGAATATTAAATTTATATTTATAATATAATATTATTAATAATTGAACAATATAAAAAATACGTTGCAACTGAAGGCTGCCCAATGAGGTATAGGTATAGTGGTACTATACTACTATAAATAAACCATATTATAATA